ATGCGCGATAGCAGGACCTGCACTTCACGGCTCGTTCCCATCGGTGCCAAGGTTGCATCGTACCCGTGTACAACATTAGCTGCACTGGAGTAGCGAGAGAGGCCTCGAGAGGAGGCCTGCGTGTGGAACTCGCGTGATGCTTACGCTCGAAGCTTATCGCGTGCTACACACACACATACACACATTGCGAATACACAGGTGTCTGTATTTGCGTACGCCTATATGTATGCGTGTATAATATGCACACATCACGTTGTAATGTGCGTATGTAACGCACAAGCGAACGTAGAGATGACGACGACGACGACGACTAAGTAAGCGCAGGATTTACAGAGAGAAAGAGAGAGAGAGAGAGAGAAAGAGAAAGATAGAGAAGCAAGTGCAATTCTCTATGAATCGCGCCTATCTATATGTATCATCTCGCGCAAGCCGTTGCCTGGAGTCTCGTGCGCGAAATTAGCAATGGATTTACGTGGAAAACGATGAGAAATCCAACACATTGAGGATCGAAAGAAAAAGAAATTCAATTTGTATTAGCTTCTTATTTATATCTTTTGAAATATTTCTTGATATAATATGTAATAATTTCTTTAATTATAAGATTCACATAATATTAATTTTACGATAAAGTGGCATATATAATATAGCGTGCTGTATCAATGATAACCGCGATGCATGCCTTTATCAACCGGACGCATTCATTAATATAATATAATATTCGTCATATATAATATATATATATACAAGCGCGCATTAATTTTTATACAAATTAATGTACGCATATTGCCTTTTAATGAGATCGTGAGAACGAAACTATGCGTCGTTATATTATCTAATAAATATCTAATTATGCATCAAATATATATATCACATATCACGACTCTCGGTGGAATATTTGCAAATTCCAAGAGCCACGGAATATAATATATTTTCGTTTAACCCAATCACGCGCATTATCCTTAAAGCAATATACGCGATTATCTCTTCAGAATATTTAAATAAGTGATAAAGAGAGATAAACGCACCGCGCGATAACGCAACGCATACGCGCGTACGAATTATATCAAAATACGCGTCGATTCTAGGACAATACTCTGCACTAGGATTGCACAAGACTTAAGACAAGAAAATATTCGTAAAAATATTCGTAAAAATATTATATTTGTATTGAATATTTTTGGGAACTTAAATCTTGTCTTGGTCTTGAGTGAAGTCGAATTTCGAGGCAAAACTAAACAATATCATGACTTGTCTTGACATCTCGTGCAACCCTATTTTGTACTAGAATCGTTCAAGATTGTGACCGCGATGCGATCATCTTCGCGTACGCGACAACCATATTGAAAGTATGCCACGCGTGGGCGGACACGGTGACGCCGTTCGCGTCGCGACAAATAGTGGACGCGCGTCATACGATCTCGCGAGATATCCGATCGCGTATCAATACAGATGCAATTTGCATCGTCGGTCCTCTGAACCTGATGCCTGATGCAATCTGCGACAGATCAATAGTAATCGTCGGCTAATTTGTAGCGTTCTCAAGGTAACGACACATTTCCGAGAGACAAACGTATAATCTATCGTAAATCGTTGAGACTCGTTATCGATGAAACGAAACGAGAGATAGTGGTCTGAAAACCCAATCTTTTGACCAAATTTCTGAATTTCTATAAAAATTATTTTTAAAACAAACACTAAAAATACTAGAAAAAAGAAACTAATCATCTATATCTTTAATAAAAAATGTCATATACGATATTAAAAAAAAAAAAAGCCTAGTTTGTATAAAACATCTATTTTTATAAGATCTATATGAATATTTTATTTTATTATTCAATTTAAGCAAGAGCTGGATCAGCTACTCAAAAGTTAATAAATCTAATCCATTTCGAGATTCATAAATTTGACATTGCGCAGAAAGGACATTTTTAGCCTTTTAAGATATAAAATTAATAATTAATTTATAATTTAATCTCAAAATCGTAAATATTATCTTATATCGAACTAAAACTTTTTTATAGTTTCTGTATCACGAAAATTTTGTAACGACTATACACAAAAATTCATGAAAATAAAAATTTTACTTCTACAGGGCAAATATCTACTTTTATATTTTTTCATATTTTACTTTTAAAATGTAAAAATATAAAATTAAAAAATTTTATATTTTAAAAGGCTAAAAGTATGCTTTTGCGCAATGTGAAATTCATGAATTTCGAAATGTATTAGATTTATCAACTTTTGATGTAGCTGATCCGTCCAGTTTCTCCTTAACGCGATGTGTCGATATATGTATATCCCGTGATTGATCGACGTTTCGATCCACGACGAGACGGCAAACGGATTGCGGTTTTTTTATCTCATACATACATGCGAGAACCTACCTGGTGCATAGCACGATAACGAAGGAACGCGCGGCGCGTCTTATCGCGATAACTCGAACGCAACCTTGCGAAACAATTTTATGCCAATTGCTGTTCGCATTTAAGACGCATGGCTATCACAGCATGATCGATCGCGATTACAATTGAATATAAAAGAGTTTCCAAGTTATCTTATTCCGAGATTTGATCAGGTTAATAAAATCGAGTAAAGAAATAATTGAATAATATAATAATAAACGTGAAAAAATGGTAACATTATACGATATCTCCACGAGATTTTTTTTTACAACGCATATAAAGTTCTATCAGTATTTGGAGCAGAGTGTCCAGATAGAGAGCTATCATCAGGGAGCGTAATGTGTCCAATGAAATTTGTTCTGTTGACTTGGTCAGTTTTAAACCACGGTATCAATTTATTTTTCTCGAAAACGCATCGATCATCGGTCCCGCGCTCTATCATCGTGTTCATATTTTTGCGGAAAGTTCCCGTGTATTCGTGTGTGCAATTGGTACGACGAGAAGGAGAGATTGCGCGTGTTACGGTGCAATAGGAACACACGCGAGATAAGGCTGCGAAAACGCCGCTCGTAAATCGCGTCCATGGGCGCTGATAACGAGGCGCATTCGCACGACCTTCCTCCGATGCTCGGGCTTTAAAGCCCGCTCTAAGGCCGCTTTTAGAGCCGGCGACTGATAACGAGCTCGCGCGCGCGCGTTCTCGCTCGCTCGCTCGCTCGCCGCCGCAAATTGCGCCATTCACGTCTCAATAGCCGACCTTCACCCCGTACATTTAGCATCTACGTACGATATGTATATGCGTCGGAGTCGCGTATCGGTCGCCTCGCTGCTCGGAACTATCGCGACGAACTCGGGTATGACTCATTTCGTTCGAGCTCGTCGCAACAAATACGCGTGATGCGTTATAGTGATTTCGGAGCAGCGTACTGTACAAGGTGTAACAAAAAGTTGAAAACAAACAGCATATTCATCGGTAAAAAATAAAGGGTTTTTCTTATACAAAGTCATGCCTTACGGGCTTTCGTTTCCAAGACACAGGGCGTAAAGGTTTTTCGAAAGAAAAAATTGTATACTCACATATTTAGATATGTAAAATATTCATAAAAACGGAATCAATAAAAATCCTGAGAATTCCAGGTTTTCCATGTTTTTCCAGGAAATAAACATCTTGTATATTTATATTGTATTAATACAATTTTTAAAAAAGGAACACGCTGCCTGCCCTTTCAAACGAGAATCTTCCTGTAGTGGAAGAAAGGCTTGTGAGAAAGGTATGGCTATTTAATTTGAATTTTTACGCGAGTCTTTTTTCATGGCTCGCTCGCGCAACAGGAAGTACGCAGAATTGTTACACGAATATCGTTGGTTTCACGGCCATCGCGGTGAAAAATAACATTTTAACTACGAGCTTGTGATGGAATAAAATTGAACCTTGAGAATCCTGCTAATCGACCGTCTAGCACCGCCACGCTAATTATCATCGTAGGATAGTCCATCTCGTTTACACACTTTTAAATTCTAATTCACAACGCTGTACTTGGTGATAGTAACACGGGCGTTCATTAACGCAACCACGATATATATATCGCCCGCAGAGACTGCACCTCATTTCGGGGGAGGAAGGGAGGGAGGGAGAGGAGTCTCCCTTTAATATATTTAATATCCCTATTATAAAGTTCATTATATAGAATTATATATGGTCGAAATAGCACTATACTTTACACTTTCTTCATCATAGAAATATTATTTTCATTCGTATTCAGAGCGCGAATAATCGCTCGAGGAGTTCAATCGCATTCGCAATTCATAAACCGCTAATAAAGCACGGTATATTTATAGATCTAAATCATGCATTCGCGAAAAAAACATATGACTGAATCATCAAACTTCAGCGATCTAATTGTTGATAATCTCATCAATATTTGATTACTTCTAATGAGCGCGGGTTATCGTATAAGAATGTATAGCATTATACGCGTAAAATTGATTAATTAGATTCATATATGATCAAGTTTTCTTTATTTAAAACACGGACTTACGAGAAAATCTATACCTTGACTTTCCTGCCCTGATTTCTTTCGATATGATTCATTTGCTAATCTTAATTAAAAATAAAGATTTTTCTCTCTCTTTCTTTCTCTTTTTCTTTAATAACCCAATCATATATAATTATAACATATTATAATATATTAAAAAAATAATATATTATATTCATTATACGTATATATTATATATTATAATTATATAATTACGTAATATATTTATCATAAGAGAGAAAATGCTCTTTCACAAGGTACTGATACTTCAATAAGTAATTCACTAAGATAAATAGTGACGAAATATTATATACAACACAAGACATATTCACATACATATTATTTTTAATCACTGAATGCGAGAATGCAAGTGAGATACTCAAAGACTTAATGATTATCTATAAATACCTCATGAAAAATGCGCCTGCAAATAAGTAAATTAGCGATATGTTTATTAAATTAGACGGAAATATTATTTTCTCGTGATCCGTAAAGTTAATCGCACCGTGATCTATCGCGCAACGAAATTACGAGCAAGAATGTTGACGTTTATAATACGTACAATTGTTGCCGCCACGTGCCCAGTGCTGGGCCTGAGTCCCCTGGATGATGGCCGTCACCGACATCATCGGTTTCTCCTTCTTCATCATCTTGCCCGGCTGCTTGCCCGCTCTACTTTCACTCGTCACCGTGAACCGATTTATCTCGTCGGCTTTTTATCTTTCACGCACGCACACCCCCCCGAGGCACGCCACCCCGCGTTTTTTTTCTCTCCTCGCGTTCTTCTTTTTTTTCTTTTTTTCTTACTTTTCGTTTCTTTTCAAACAGATCTCCCCTCGTCCCCTCGTCCTCACCGCGTCATCTCGCAAAAGTCCTTCCTTCCACCTTGTCCTTCCTTCCTTCCCCTCGCTTGAGCTAAATTCCTTCTTTTGGTATCGATTTGGTATGGTTGCTCACTGCACTTCTTTGGTTCGTTCGTGATCGATCGCGCGACCGGTTACTTAACTATTCTACAGCAGAAAGAAGAGTGGTTTGGAGGAGAGCAGAAAGGGATATTGACTGACGGGACGGACGGACGGGACAGACGTGTAAACCGATAAAAATCCTTCATCGAATCGTACAGCGACCTTGAATCCCACGTCATTCTTACTGATGAGTAGCTCATATTCTTTTCTAGCCGAGAGCTTGAAGCAACAAGCAACGCACTAAGTCACGTTAGCGATTATGGTTCCGAACCTTTACATTCCTTTTTATCTCGATAAACCAACATTACATTTCTTATATTATAAGAATCTATTTAATCCAAGTTATATATACACGTTTAATTGTCTAAGCCTCTAAGAAAATGGATAATGAAAAAGAAAAATAAATGACAAAAATCGCCTGGAAAGAAAAATGTTACATCTTAACAAAAAAATCATTAATCTGGAAACATTTAAAATATATTTTACAACGCATTTACCAAAGCTTATTATTATGAATGCGCATAGCAAATTATTTTTTTCACGTCCACCGATCATGAATATGCATGGCATTATGATAGTATATCGCGATTTCTTTTACATTGACTGAATTGATTTAATAATAATTCCGATTTTGAATGCGCAGCGTTATCTTCTCGATTTTATCATCAATCAAACAAGTTCGACCATTATATTTATTATGACGCAGTTTCGTACAGATTAATCGCGAAACTCAATTGCGAAACGTAAAATCGCGGTAGATGTATCTTCCGTAAACACGTTATTCCCCTTTCGGATCTCTTATATCGAGTTTATTTTTAAAACGAATAATCCAGTTTTTTCCCGGTATGGACACACAATGTACACAATGTACACAATGTATGCAATGTACACAACCGACAAGGTTAAGACTTTGAGACACGATTAATTAGCGATTACGATATGGATTGCAGTTTCGGATATACAATAAAACAAGGATTCGAGAAACATGGCTTTTAAGTGTGCCAAGGCATGACGCGTGCAATTAGTCACGGGTGTAAGCAGGCGCTTTAATTTTTATCGTGGCCCGGATTGCAAAACAACCGAGCGTGGCCGCCACGTCTCGAGACTCTCAGAGGGGAAGTCGTTGTCCTTTCTCCGTCGTTCGTCAAATTATCTTGTCACCGAAGAATAGATCGGACGAATCGGGAGAACCGAAGGAGACGCTCCGGCATTACTCGCGACCAATTGAATTGGATTGATTTGCGCAGCTGTTTGATCGCTCGAAACACGTTTGAATATATTTCTATTTCGAATCGCGGCTAAAATCTGGCTCCGCCAGTCGAACGTACTCCCGTTGTACTCGAGTTATACTTAAAAAATTAGGGTATCTACTCAAATCTTGTAAAACAATTCTCTGAAAATTCCCTGATCTTTCATGTATTTTTGTTCAAAATTCGAGGTAAAGAGAATATTTTAAAAAATGTAATTTGTGCAACTTTCTGAGATAATTTTTTTTATTCTATGCGTTTTCTACACTGTTTGAAAATTTGTTTTCTTATTAATAAATATGCCTGTTAAAATTTTTGTGCTAAATATTTAATTCATTCATGTGTTAATTTCGAGCAAAATTAATTAATAAATACATTCTCTGAGTCCGAATAAAATTCCATAAAAATTCCCTAATTTTTCTAGGTACGAAAGAAATCTCTGAGAATTCTAGATTTTCCAGATAGTTGACACCTCGTGACATATTTGATTATTCGACACGTGTGAGATGACTGGGAGAAGCTCGGGGACCAGATCGAAAGTCTGTCGGCGCAGACAGACACATATCTTACGCTTTTTGCGCCGTTTAAGAAGCCTAAGGGGAGAAAATCACCCGAAGGAGAGACGTCTCGCGAGGTTGCCGCCGGTTGGAGAACCGACCAGAAGAGTATACGAGTGGGTGAACGCGCGGGCGCGACCCTCGGGGATCCCGCACGGGATATCGGGAGCAGACGCGAAGACAAATGTGCCTGATCTACTCGGGCACAAGAAAAAAGTAGTCGTCCGAGAAATTCGCAAAAAGAGCGCGCGTCGTGTCGCTGACTCTCATCGTCGTGAAGAAGAAATGTCTTATACCTCGCTTTCCTTCGGAGAAATAATGCGGATATGGAACTCGGCATAAATCCCGCTATTTCCATAATTTATTTTGCTGTTTCGTCGCGAAAGAAAAAAAAACAAAGACGGACAAAGATAAATGCCGTTGTAAAAGAAAAAAAAACACAAAGATGGACAAAGATAAATACATCCCACGTAAAAGCCAAGGAGTTTAAGAACGTTTACGCGATGATACTTTTTTCTAAAATACACGCCCGGTCCGTTATCTGATCTTAAAGATCCAATTTTGCGTGGAGATCGAAACGAGGATGATTAAAATAAAATAATAGAAACGTTATATATATACAAGATGCGGAGAACTCGATGTTAAGTAATCGAGCGACGTTAACACTCCTCCGAGGTCGCGTCACAAGATTATTATAAAAAGGCGTCGGTGATCTGGTTCTCTCCAGACAGCTAAAAGCGCACTTCTTCTCAACGAGAGGCTCTAAAAATATTTATCGCCGACTTTTATGCAGTTTCCTCTCGCGCGTACTCGCCGCGTCGCGATCTCGAAATAACAGAGCCGCGGTGGCGGCTGTCCTCTCGATCTCTTACACGCATGCGCTCAGCGACCTTGACCACACGCACGCAGGAAATGCGATTGCCTTGTCTCGCCATCGACGTCGATTCACTCTCTCGAGGGGGATAGAGAGGCGCGATCACTTACGTAATGCACAAGCAATTACACGAAATGCACATGCACGGAGATGTCACGTGTATGTATATGTGTATGAGTATGCGTCTCTGTTGTTGCACTTGTCGCGCGGCAGGGTTGTCGGACGTGTCAATTGGCTACCTCTGGCATTAGTTAGCTAGACAGTCAATCGAGAAACAAAATTGGAACGAGCCCATAATTTGTACATTTATCCTTCCAAATAGCTTTCACCAAGTTTGCATTCTCGATCACTCAACTGACAATTTCGTCGCATTATCTACACTGTAAAAAAATTGATTGAAACTTCAGACAAAGTGTCTGCAGCTTTTTTGCAGACACACTGTCTAAATTTTCACACACTTCAATTTTCAAACTCTTCTGAACTTTGAGAAAAACCACTCTGATGATTAAGACAGATTGCCTGAAATTTTTTCAGACACCCAGATGTGAAAATTCAGACAAAAATGTGTCTGAATTTTTAGAAAATTTTTTACAATATACCCAAAAATCCGAGAGATTTAATATTTTTTTTTATTTTAACGTGCATTAAATTCAACGAGAGATTCCTCAACTAGACCGAGACATTTATATATTAATTTTTTTCAAATTAAACCGATCCATTCTCTAGCCGGACCTCGAATGTATATTTCAGACATAATTCGTTTCGCGTTCTACCGTTCAGTCGCTTGATTGTTTTCAATCGTGAATCGATCATTCGTGTCGATCGTGGGTGGATGGCGAAATGAGGAACGCTACTCCCGCGACTACTAATCGCTAATGTCGAGGTTGAAGTTCAAGGTTAACGCCAAGACCACGTCTGGCTCACACTCTACATATAGCGGAAAGACAGATCGATATGTACCGGGTGCTATACGAATTCGTGGCCGTGAATTTGTTTGCGATCGCGTGTCATGAATTGGACGACGTAAATCGAACATTCCAACATATTTGACGTAAATGCCAGATCTGGAATTATGTTCTCGTTATGAATCTTTGCCGGATCACAAAATGATGCAAAGTGCGTTGCCCGTGAATAATGATTACGATAAATTTTACATATCTCGTACTTTCTATACAATAATATAATAATATAATTAATTATTTAATGCCCGAGATTCAAGCTCGCCTAAAATATATCTCGTACTTTTTATACAATTTCGAGCATTCGAATGCGCATTTGCCAAAGATAACAGCGGTCGCAAAGCCTAAGAGGAGAAATGAAAAAAAAAGCATCTCGGAATTCTGAAGACGCGAAAATGCTTTTACACGTATGCGACACCACTTGCACGCGCTCTAGCGTCAAATGATACACGCAATAAAATAAAAATAGTCGATGATACACGCCTTTTCGCGTCATAATTCCAAGAGTGACGTATATTATATGCGTTATCAATAGAAGCGATATATCCTCGAAGCCGGCGATAGGCTGACGTAATTAAAAGGCGGGGATGATCGATAACGTTATTATAGAGCGAGCGAACGAGGGACGGTATATCGTCCTGCGAAACGATCGATTGGCACGTTAATTCTGGTATCCTGCACGGGTCAACGACAAAAATATACCGTCGTTATAGAGAAGGAGACTATATTTTATACATGACGCGCGATAGACACACAATCTCTTTCATGTGCCGCCGCCAATGGGATGCAGATTTTGACAGCTCGATTGAATCGCTGCTTCCAACGAATAGCGAGAAAGTTTCTTATTCGAATACAATTAATTAAATTCTTTGTAACGTTTCCAAATATTGAGAAATATATAAATTCAAAATTAAACATTTTATTTTTCTGTTATTTAACCTCTCCTCTCTGAAACATTTTGAATGATTGAACGTTTATAAAACAAATTTGCTCTTCTACAGCGTCAAACATTAAGTTAGTTTCAAAATAAAAAAAAAAGATTTTTATATTTATATCGGAGCAATTCAGATTTCAAACACGCACACAGTTTTGGCGCAGCTTCGCGAAATCGAACCGCGCGAGAATCATGCTTCATTTCCACTTGGCATGTGTTGTTGAACAACTGTCAATGCACAAATCGCCGTGAAAACCAAGTACCACGTTATAATATTGCCGCCGGATAGAACGATGTTCATTGTCCAGGGATCGGAATTTGATTTTCGTGACATAAAACGGATGGAATAGAGTACCTCGCAGCAATTTTTTCTTTGAGAACAGAACAATGCAATTTTCGATTACATTTAAATTTAATTTAACTTGCAACAGGGATATATTTATCACGATAGTTTTTCTTTTTTTCTCGGAAATAGATCTTGATGACGTAATTATCAATTACAGCAGGAGTTCAATTTTTCCTGGGCAAAAAGAACACTACTTACAAATCTTTTTCTCCGAGAAACCGGACGGTAATCAATTAGACGTCGGACTTGGATTTCCGTGACACGATAAAGAATCCATTATTATCAGAGAATACGATTTGTTCTCTGAAAATGGGACGACAAAACCATTATTATTTTTTTTTTATCGCGGTGGGACGATTGCATCCCAACTCGTTTAAATGTACGCAGCTCTAGAGTCGCTCTTACGGATACCGATGCAGCGTCACATATCGCTATAAACGTAAATGTCGTGACATTTGAGGTCATACCGATGTCATGTGAAAACGAAGCTTAACAAACGACGACGGTGGCGGCGGCGGCGGCGGCGGCGGCGAAGGTGAAGGCGCACGATTCGTGCGGCCGGTCCTCGGCTTTGTGTGTGCAACGCGCGCGCTGAATGTCACATCTTTCTGAGCCATTGATTTTCCACAATAAGAGAGACCGCGCGCGGGACAGCTTATTGAATTTTCAACAATTGCAACATGTATAGCCGTTCGGAGAAGACGCGTGCGACAGGCGATAGCGCGCGGCGAGAAATCGTCGGGGCTGGCTGTCATTATGCAGGTTCAAGTATAACACAAGAAACGTACTCACGCGCACACGTACTTGTGACGACACTCGCTGCATAATCGAGAAGCACAAACGGTATTGTTGTACCTAAGCATAGCATTGTATCTCTCTACCGCGCGTACTTTAATAAATTTGGAGCGATGCCGAGATTTTATCTCAGCATTTGTTAATTTGCTCTTAAGCAACGCGATTTTCTTATCTATCGAGGTTGAATTCAAATTGACGTTTTCTTTTTTATTTTAAGAATTAGAGAGTATATACAAGAAAAACGCCGAAAAAAATTATTTGTAAACACTATTAGATTTATTTCAGAAGATTAACTTTGTTCCTCGTACACTGTTGGAAAATTTGGCTTAAATTTAACATATGTCGCATGTCCCAAACGGTGCACACAAATTTTTGTGTATTAATTTAACATAATATGGATATGTTAAATGGTGATACTAATTGTACTATGTTAATATTTCAACACAAAATGTATGCAAACTTCATAGTAATTTAAAATAAATTTTGTGTAAAATCAATATATTTTTAACGATAAAATTATAATTTGGAAAAATGTTAATGACGGTCTGTAGTCACTCTCATTCCTATTGTAGAATAAAATCAACATTTTTATCTGTAAATTTTAACATATAAATCCTGTCACTAATAATATGGAACATATCTATTATGTAAAATTAAAAAATATGCACATTGTGTTATTTTTACACTTTTTTCAGTTGTTTCAATAATTTAACATTTGAGTTTATTTAACACAATAGCAATATGTTAAATTTTCCAACAGTGTAAGATACAGTATTTTATCTCGCTAAAAGATCATTTAACGCGAGTTGGATGATGAGATTAAATTGGTCCATCGGAATCCAATTTATTTCGCACGCGAAGAAATTGTCGAAGATTGAAACAATGTTAAAGCACGCTCGCGAAAACATTTCTGCGTGGAACACGGGATAAAATTTCGCTAAGCACGTGTGTGTGTTCAGTCGCGCGTGATAAACGCCACAATGTACGCGGCTGGCGAGAAACATCACTTGGGTTGCTCGCACGGGTTCAAGTATAGCACGTGATGACACCCGCCAAGATCATCGAGGCGCGCTCGTGACGGATTCGCATTTCTGGTGCCGTTGACAGCGAACAATAGTATCCGTTTATCCAAAGAAACCTGCGTTTTTAGAGAGAAATGAACAATCACGAGAAATGCACGTATGCCGCCATTCTCTCATCCCTCCGAGTGTCTACTCGTGCCCTCCCTCCCCCCTGAAGCTTGTGTTTCCCGGGTCGCCGCTCTATTTTCGCGTCCGTTAAATTTAGTCGCGGAATTATTTTGAGAGAGAGATCACTTCCGCGTGCCCGACATGCCCGCGAAATCGCTCGGTTCGAAAGTTCGCTGTCTCTCGGTTAAAAACCGCGGCGACTCGCACAACCTAGTCGACCCAGGCAAGGCCGCCGTTTATCGATCTCTCTCGCGACGCCGTCGTGAGGGGTATCGGGCGGTCGCCGCCACCGCCACCGCCACCGCCACCGCCACCACCGTTGGCCTGGAATGCCAGCCTTCGCGCGAAGGTCGCGAAAATGCTCCCGAAGGACGACGACGCGGCCCCGACCGGGATGCAGTCTCGGGTTACTGGTGGATCCCGCGCTGGTATGTAAACACACACGAGAGCCAAGCGGCCAGGGAAACCCATTGGCACACTGTGGCCACTTAGCGTTCGCGTTATCGATCGCCGACGAGACACCGCCTCGTGCCTTGATAATCGTACGGAGTAACCCTTTAAACGCAAATCTATACGATTTTCGAGCTCCATCATGGATTTAGGAGAATAAACAGCGAGCCTGATTTAAGAAGGACGGAATGAAAAGTAATGGCGCGGTTCTCTCTCGAATAAATTCGATTGATGAGAATGTACTAAGATCGACGATATATTTTGCTCTGGCCAATTTATGTTTTTACCACACGTAACCTTGGACAGTTTCAGGAATTTTTTTTAGAAAATTCCAATATAAAGTATGAAATTTTGCAAGCAAGGCAAAAAATTCAAATTTTTTAAATGCAATTTTTCTGAAATATATATAAAAAATAGATAAAAAATATATAATATATAATAACGAATTAATAATAAAAATAATATGCAAAAATTAATAAAGATTCAATAAGACAAATCTAATTTAAAAAATTACAAGAGAAAAAAGGAATGCGCACGCGTATTCTAAAAAATATGAACTGCCAAGTGTAAAATTCGAGATTCACTTGTGCCGCCAAGTTTTTTCACGCGCGCGACAGCAAAAGGGTTAACCAACTTGACGAAGCCTTCGCCTTGCATACAAGTCGCGTCGTCAGCGACGAAAATAAGCAACACGAAACGTGCAACGTCCGAGAGCCCGCTCGCTTACAGCTAGCAGCCAGAGAAAGATTTGGCAGCGCGAGAGGAGCCAGCATGGAGTCCACCAGCTCGTGGCACGCAGGCAACAACAAATCCGCGTTCACTGCACCGAGAGAGCGGCGGCCTTCTCAAATTTCGAGAGCGATCGTGCGCGCCCTCCCTCCATACCCCGAAGATGTTAGCCCCGTGCAGGACATCAGCTTCCACATCGTTTGTGCTTCTTCGATATTTTTATACACACATCAGCCATACGTAAACTTTAGTCCCTTTATCTCCCTCCTTTCTCTAATCTCGTGCCAACAACACCTGAAGCCCTGACGAACCCCGTCGCGTTGTCTCGCTGACAATCGTGTTCCCTCGCAACCCGCGAACGCGCAGAACGTGGAAAGTGAAGCGTCGCGAGATACTTGGACGATGCATTCTCTCGTGGAGAGAAAGGGGGAGAGAAAGAAACGGAGAATCCATGACGCGCGACCCGGTCACCACCAGAGCGCGAGCGAAGTCTTGTGAGCGAAAAAAGTGGAAGGAAGAGAGAGAAAGAGACGCAAAATAGTGTAGGAACGCGGGTAAACGGGAGTCAGAGATAGAAAGAGGGAGAGAGAAAGAGAGAGAGAGAGAGAGAGAGAGAGAGGCGAGAGTAAAGTGTAGTTACACACGGTATACGGAGAGAGCGAGCGGCGATATCTCTCGCGCGTACCCGAGCGACCCGATTCACCGACTGACTGACTCAATGACTGACTGACTGACTGACTGACTCGGAGATGCACGGCGCTAAAGGCGACTGAGTGCCAGCCGGCCGGTCTGGCTCTCGTT